TGTTGGGGGGGTCAAAAAAAAGATAAGGGGTGGGAAAAAAGCCCAGGGGGGTCAGAAAAAAGACGGGCCCAACCTGGCCAGAGACCCACTTAGATGACGAAGTCACGCAGACTGCCCCAAGACCACCACGCCCACACGCATCCGTGCACATCAGGATGGGCTCCGTCGCGGCGAGGCAAAAAGGAACGAGGCGGACTGACAGCTTGTTGATGTGAGCTGACCACCAATGCAAATCCACAATAGTTTGAAGCATAAGGGTAGATGACCATTTCCGAATCTGTCGATGCAATCCTACAACGTGGCATCTAGAGACTTGTCCCCGAATGGCCCAAGCAGCGAAGCTAAGGCGTCCGACGAGTTTTCGAAACCGGGGGACGTCCACCTGTGGAGCGGAGAACGTCTCTGTGATCTCTTGACTCCAGATTTTTGCTTTCCTCGGTTCAGCTGCGAATTGCAAGCAAGAGCCATCTGCACAAAGAGACACCCTGACTCGCAAAATGTCCTGACACAATGCTGGCGTGGGAGTTTTGCGCTCTTCGAGCGTGAAGCCAAGAAAAGTGACCAATTCCATAGCTGCCAACCTGCCCTCAGCTGCTGCCCTCCACAAATCGGTCCAGAACAAATCGTCCACATATCGAGGGCTAAGAATCAAGAGCAACTCTTGCAAGATGGCAGCCAGGGCAGCTCCGAGCCGATCCCAAGAACAGACGCGACACCGCCGAACGGCATCGCCAGTTGTGTGGATGACCAGACTACCCCATTGAAGTCGCGGAATATTACTCGAGCGAGGTCCAAGTGAGAAGTCGCGATCGGAAGCGAGCGATAGGCTGCCTTGAAGTCCGATTTGAGCAAGGCAAGTGGCTCACCAACAGCAGCAAGTGTACGCGCAACAAACTCCAGGTAGGAGATCCTGCCCATCCGGATCTTCCGGGCGACGGTGCAAGCATCATTGACCATCGACTCTTTAAAATCATCAGTGCAGCGAACCTTAGACACCCCTTTTGAGTCAACTTGGGACACTCCGAACCTTCGAGTCACAACGCACGGCTTTTGAGACACTGCTGGAACTGGCACGGTCATACGTCCCAGCTGGACTTCATCCAGTGTCTGACGATAAATGTCAGCATCGAAATCTGAGGAAGTTTCAGAATGACGGCGAAGTTGTCGAGCCCAGGATTTACGACCTTTCTCCTTCAATTCAGAGATGGACAAGGAACTTGAGCGTACCAAGGACGGCGGCGCCTCCATGTCAGCTGGGATGTGACCCACCAAGGGGAAACCATGCTGAAGATGCCTGATTAATTCGGAGTCCGGCCAGCGAATCTGGTTCAAACACCACTCTAGCAGACCTAAGTTGGGACCAGTCCGGCCAGCTGCTCGCAATACTTGACGGGAATGGGGGGCAGCGACCTCAATAATTCAGCAGATCGTTTGGTTAGCCTTCGAGAGAAGCATGTCCGTCTGCTGTGCCCTGAAAGCCACCAAACCTTCACCTCAGGCAAGCACGTCTCGCACACCTGGTCAACCTCCCTGGGCCTGTGGGTGAAGCAACTAGAGGAAAGGCTTCCTGCGCAGCAGCCACATGGGCAAGTTGGGCGGTCTTCAATGCCGCTTCAGAGGATGACGCGGGAATGGGAACATCCAGGACCACATCACGTTTGCAGCATACAGCTGAAGAAGCAGCTGAGGCGCTGTCCGAACCAGATGTGGACCCACAGCTTGTTTCCAGTGATGCATTCAGCGCCCTGCTGCTGAGCCCGTCAGCCCGAGCGCCGGAGACTGACGGGCAAGGCCCCCCATCTGCTGGGGAGTGAGTGCCTGTTGGATTTCCTCCATTGAAGCCAGTGTGGGAAAACCTTGCTCGCGTGCCAAGCTTTTGTTTGCCATGACAAACGAACACCAGCTAGACAATACATGTTGGACCACTGGAACTGCGAACGTGTTGCCCGTGGCATGCATGTGCTCCAAACAAAAGGTCAGCCCCAAATCATCTGGAAGAGCTGAAACCCTAAGGCGCTCTCACGTTCAGCTCCTGACAGTGGTCGCAGGAGATTAGAACCCTGCTCTGCGTGAATCCATTTGGCCAGCTTGCCTCTGGCCACATTGGCATCCGAGCCTTTGCGCCTAAGAGATCTACGACTGCAACTGACATCGACACCCTCAGTGACCTTGGCTGTCAAGAGTTGGCGCTGGCTCTCCGATAGATCCGCCTTGTAGACCAAACCTCTACGGGAGTAGCTGTGCAATGACAAACGCGGAAAGGACTTGTGCTCGGTGAGCAACTCGCGCGGATACCCCCGATCAAACCCTCGGCAAAAGGTTGAAAACCTCATGTCTGACGCGGGCGTACCGGAGGGGAACTCCCACAAAGGACGCCATCTCGCTTCCAACACTGCAGCCGCGTCGATCGCCACTGCTGTCAAGGGTTCCACCCGGAGATTGGTCCAGAAACAGCGCTCACGCTAAGCAGGCAGTAGCGATCTCAAGCATGAACAGGACGTGGACATCAGGAAGAGCAGATTTCAAGCGGGAGAGCAGGAGTGGGAAGACAACCAACTTGCTGGTCTGGATCGCGAATGCCCTGCCTGTTCTCTTTGGCCATCGAGAAACCTACGCAAGGTGACCCTCCAGCAGCTAAGATAGATTTCAATGACCTGAAGCCTGAAGCGCTTGAGAAACTGAATGAGCAGACCACTTTCTCGCAAATGGCAAAAGCTGAACCCACTGCGCCCTTTGAGTCGGGCATCTGAGATAACCAAACCCCAGAGCGGGAATGATGGTGCTTCAGAAGCTGTCGACATCGGGCATCAACTTCAAACAGCAGAACCTGCACCTTAGTCCCGAATACCGGTCCCAGCCCAGAGTCCAACAAAGCTTGCAAGAGACCTCCCACGCCGGAGAAGAGGTCAAGCACCACATGTTCCACTGATTCAAAGGGACATGAAATGAGGCACCCTCCCTGGGCTCTGCCCGGCCAACAAGCCCAGGAGGTTCGATTTGTCAAGACCGGTCGGTTTCTTGGCGCGTCGCGCCTTGAAGGACTTCAATGCCGCCGCATAACGCTCAACCGACCGGGCACCGTAGTGTCCAAATGCACCATCTTGCATGTGGACCGATCCGGACATGTCAATCCCTGAGCCGGATCATGTTTGAAACATATGGGTGTGCGGCCAGATTGGGAGACAGCAGCATCCTTGGCATCGCCCGTCTTGCCCTTGTCCACGCGAGGTTTCCGAGGTTCGGGGACGTTGGGAAGCTTCTCTGAATCATCAACCCTGCGGGCGCGGTAGTGTTTGATGTCCAACTTGTGGGTAATCCGCCGCAAAGGCCGATGCAACAGATCACTGAAGCTGAACTTCTCCGACTGCCGTGTAAGCGACTGAAGCTCGTAGTGGAGGTCGCGCTCATAGCGAATGGCATAGGCCAAACCATGCTCGGCGGTCATCCGGATTAACACCAGCATCTGGGCGAACACATCAGGGAAGTGGACTACACCAACAACAGCATGAGCCAATCAGAAGTTGGACACCAGACTCAGGAACCTCGGAGTGTCAAGGCTCTCGGTTCGCCGCCACTGCTTGACCAGAGCATCTCGAGCAGCTGGCGATTCGCCATGTCCCACCCGCAAAGAACCCAAGACTCCAAGGCCGAATCAGCAATGAATGGGTGGTCCTGATTCTCGCGAGCCTCACGGGCCTTAAGCAACAGTTTCTGTAACTTGGCAAGGAGTTGAGTGGAAGGAAACCAATCAGTCGGTAAGAAGCTGTGCGATGCTTTGGATAGAGCAGAAGCCAAGTCGAACTTCTCCACATCTTCGTCGTCGGATTCATGATCTCGCAGGATGGAACTCCTAGATGCCCTGGAAGGGCCTTTAGCAAAACGCTCTAACGCTGCAGCTAATTGCGAATTTACACACAGTTGCTCAGCAGCGAAGTCGGTCGGTCGAACAGCAGATGCCCCTTGGCTTGCTGAAATTTGACCCTGATGAGATTGCCACGCGAGAGCCATGAGGCGACGTGCCAAGGTTGAGCGCAAGATATCCACACTGATGTCTTGGCGATGACCATGCGCTTGAGCGAAGACTTGGGTGAGCTCCTCTGGGGTGAAACCCAACAGACGACCAGGCGAGTTGACACCCAAAGACACCAATCGCTCTACCACTTCAGTGAGCTGTGGACAAGAGGCTTGGTGAATGTCATGCGCTGCGGCCCAAAGCATCAGGTTCTCCTTCGCACGGTCCTCGGAGTAGAGGAAGTTTCCCGGCAGCTCGAAAAACCACGCGCTCACATTCTGGTTGGTCGGTTCAGGATGGACTGGTGCACGGGGTAATTCCAGTCGCGCAGGAAGGAGATGGATTGGGCAATCTCGGAACCGGAGGCGGCGACAAACTTTGTGCACGATGACGTCTTGGTGAAGGAGAGGCTCGCCGCCGCTTCGGACTGCGGGAATCCCCCCGACTGTTGGATCGACGACAGCGTCGAGGAGCTGGAGACGGCAGACCCGAGAGCGCACCGCCATGTAAGCGCCGCGCGACGCTGCGGCTACGGGGCATCAGGAAGAAAGATCAAAACTTGGCCTGCTGAAGCGGCCTTGATTCGACACCCTGAGGAATGATAACATGCGTTGTAAAAAAAACGGCCCGATCAGGCACCATCCAAAGGCACCAGCCAAAAACAACATCCGAAGCGCTTGTCACCTGGTCAAAGTCGCGGAGCTGTCAAAGAAAAATGGCGCGAAGAAAATGGCGGCCCCCCGGGAAAGAGTTGATGATGAACCGTGAACTCTCGCAAATAGCCGCCTTCGCGGAGGCGGGCAGCAAAATTTGCGGTAAACCGATCATAATTACCTCTCGACAGGCGCGCTTTCTGGAAAGGGTTGGTGCTGAAATTTTGCGATTTCTGGCAGGTGTTTGCATTCGTGCAGGTACTTTGCTAGTGGGGAGCCCGCCACCTAAAAAGAGTTGGTGATCAAGCGTGGCAATGTCTGGCACAGCATGAAAATTGCAGAAATGGTCAGGAAAACTTGGGGAAGAATGATTGTTGTTGCACGCACAATTTTGAAAACAACCCTGGTTAACGTTTGTCCGCGGCCTGGTAAAAGTCTGAGGCTAATGAAACACCCTTTTTTGAAGCAATCCCCAAAGCACGCCGAATAGTCACTAATGAAGTTGGGGGCCTCAAATCGTGGAAGATCTCCTTTAAAAAGGTAAAACTACTTTTCAAACGAGCCCAGTTGGGGGATATCCTGGCATCAGGGATTTGAGATTTGAATCCTAAAGAACGATCAATGTCTAACGGGCTTAGTCACTAGACTTGGAACCTATGGAAACGAATTTGCAAACACTTATTTCATGAATTGATGTCTAGTCTCAATGGACTGCAATGAAATGTCAGCGCTTGTGAATACTGTGCGCTGAAGGACCAGTGTTAGCGCTTACATGCAGGATCCATTGCCCATGGTGCTTTCTACTTGGAATCTCATTTTTACAGACCAGTACCCAGATTCGGTGAATTCTTGCACGGAGGCAATAGGCAACAACCTGACAACAAAAACGATAATTTTCTTCTAGGGACATGGAAAAACTTGGTTGGGAGCTCGTCCCATTTGCGGAAACAGTCAGCAAGAAGCTAAAGAGAAAATTCCATGTCCTTCCTGAGATGCCTCTTTCCTAAAGAGTTTAATGAGCGTCAATGTCTGACACCCCGTCATAGCATGTGAGGGTCGTTCGGAAAAAAAACACTCAGAAGGGTTGGCTGTAACTTGTAACACATGTCCCCCACTACCGTGCCTCGGACACAGCAGCCGTGGCGGGCCAGTCAAAAAAAACCACCCGACCCCTGGCAAAGCTGCAAGAATGAAAGAGCCCGTCACAGCGAACGAAAGGCCCCGCCCGGAAGACATTGTCTCAAAGCCAGCTCCTGATCCCATGCACAATGGGGCCATTCCTGGATTGCTTTTCGAGACGCCTTCTGGCCGCGGATGCTCTCAAACAAGCCTTCTTCCAAAGCCTTTTCTCATCATGGTGTGCATCACAGCCGCTTAGTCCCAGCGAAACGTTCCTCTCCTGCTGGCACGTCCCTGTCACTTCTTTGAGCCGCGCGCGGTGAAACTGCACGCGCGCTTGGAAGCTTGGGAGGGTCGCTCAGTAAGTGGCTACTGCAACGGGGGGCTAACAGGACAGTGGCACAGTTCACACAAAGTTTTTACCTTCGGCTGCAAAGTTTGAATGCACTTTGCCAGCGTTGGTTGGGACAGGCATATTGCCCGGCATGCTGCACTTTGGCATCGCAGGGCTTGCTCTTAAACTACCCGGGTCCAAAGACCCAAAAGCGGGTAGTCAAAGCCATTAAACACTTTAGTAGAAGAAAAGAAAGCCCTGTCTACAGCATTGCTTGAACTGTGCGTGATTCATACTGCGAGCTGGAGCATTCTCATCTGCCTTCATGTATGAGGTAGCAGTTTTCAGTACGGCAGCGTAGTGACCAGAAAACATCGTATCACCAATGTGGGTGATAAATGAATTTAACTGGCAGCGCTTCGTTCTGAACTCAGTTGCAGTATAAATCGGAATCTCCAAGTACTCATTTGGGATAATGGCGCCATGAAATTTCTGGATACAGCCATCCACCATCTGAAAACAGAGTGTACATCCATTCCATAGGTGGGCCTGGCTTCCCAAGAAGTTTCCAGCGCAAGCTTCAGACCGCTGCTCTGATGCGCAAGATATCTGAGGAATTCTCCCACATCGTGTTGAGCATGATGCATCGCCCATCCTGACATAGCTGCCTGCCATGTAGGATTATCCCAGAGAAATGCAAGATGGCCATCGAGAACGTGCCTGCAACCATTGAAAACCAAGTGTCCCAACATGACCTGCAGCTCATGTGTATCTGAACAGCGACACATGATGAAACGAATGGTTGAGTTTGCACAGCAGCGCTTGCCACGATTGCTTGTTGGCCAATGCACTCCTCTGTAGGCGCTCGTGCCTGCAGTATGCCCCCACCGCAACCCAAATAGAGGGCTGGGCCAGGTTGTTGAAAATACTCCAGAGTCTGTTGGCTTCGGCTGTCTGCAGCCCAATTTCCAGAAACATCGTGAACGTTGGACTGGAATACTCTGCTGCCAGCGGCCGCATCGCATGGCAGCGGTTGACTGCAAACGGCTCGGTACACAGCTTGATCGCCTCGAACAGCAGCGTCATGGCGCCATTTCATCCCTGTGAAGTGGTCGTTCTGGACCCATCCCAGGGCTTTGGCATTCTCCAGCTTCATGGGGTCTCCGGTTCAGGATTGGCAGCTTTGGCGCGTTTCCACTGTTGACCAATCTCGTTCGTGCTCACAGCCAGACCCTGCGCTATGTCGGCCCTGATGAAGATAAAGTAGCTGGTGTCTTGTCGATTGGTGCTCCTGTCTGAGAACCAAGGTGGCCAGCATATCCACCCGTTGCTTGAGCTGGCTGAGGTTGCGCTTGGACGTCTTGTCCTCGTCCCTCCAGTTCTTCCAGCCGTCCCAATTTGAAGAACTCTAGATCGGCCTTTGCGCGGATTGTTTCCTTTGCTGGCAGGCTGGTGCCATATTGGCGGCTGCGCTTCTTGACCATGCTCCGGCCTCTAACGTGTGGCCCCCGGCTTGTCTTCCTTCTGGTTGGCTCAGCTGGCTCCCTCGTCCGTTGCCGGCTCCTCCGGTTTGCTGTCCTTGCCGTCCTTAATCGGCTCGGGCTGCGCTGGATCGCTGGATTCAGCGCTGGGGTCAAGGACTTGATCGGTCGCTGCTGAAAGTTCCATCCAAACCGCTGATCCTTGCGGCCCTTGCATCGCCATGACCTGAGGCAGGCTTGCACCCCAATCTTTTGAGGAGGTAGCGCCCGTTGAAGATGCCTACGCACGATCTGAGATGACCACATCTGTTCCGGAAGGAATTGCCAGAGTATCGGCAGGGGCGCTGAAAGTAAAATCGCGCTTAACAATCTGTGTTGTAACACCTTCAACAACGCGCATGAGCTCTGCGCGCTTGGCCTTCTTGTGTCTCCTAAGCACTCAAGACAATGATTGCGGCGGCGCTGTCTGACTGCAGTTCCGCTACTTCTCCGCCACGCGGATTGTTTGGCTGCTTGCAACAGATCATCTTGATGGGTGAGCGCATTCTGCAGGGTAGCCAGTTGCACTTGACTATCCTGTTGTGAAAAGAAACGCCTGATCTCAGGACAGCTCCTAGAATTCTGGCCTAAAATAAAGGCAACTTGTCCCGGGGCCCTCATTCACCACAGCAAGCTAGGCCTGACCGCTGCACAAGATCCCCTCCTTACGCCTAGCAGCCTAGCACGGCACAACAATTCACCCTACATGTTGCTCACATGACGCGGGGACAGGCGCAGACTGGGGGCCAGGCCACTGCTGCCCTGCTCCCGGGCATGACATAAACCCCTCACAGGTTCCTTCCTGACCTCCCTGCGGAAGAGTACCAATTAAGACAGCTTGTCCAATTGCAAGCAACAAGGTTAAGAGGCACTGCGTCTGTAGCACAAGCACATGGCCATGGGGGCACAGTAAACCCGGGCCTGGACAGCTATGGCCCGACAGGTGTCCGAGCAAGCAACCATGTCTGGGATTTTCGATCAGAATCTGCTCTGGAGCTGGCTCTGACAGATTCCACCTATTGCGTCTTTGGTCTCCAAACTTTCCACGGTTTCCTTTGACATGTGTCGGCATGGGTCCCGTCGGAAGAAGGCCACTGCTTTTCTCACCAACGTTGAGCAACTATCGTCACTCAGCGGCCCATGCCCAGGCTGCGCTTCACACGAATCTTGGGGCCGTACAACCAAGAACTTTGCCACGCCAAGCTGCTTTGTGAGCGCGCGGTCGAATGCCTGCCACCAACCGGGCCCCTAACCCTAACTGACATCAAATCACCAATTTGATTGCAGCCCGGGTGGCTGCCAAAAACAGCCCCGCAGAAGGCGGTTCCTCCTTTACTGTCCGAATTCGCGCACACTGCCCCCATCCGCAGCAGCTCGCAGCCGCCAGACTCTGTCGTCAGCGCGCAAAAGCATTCCCCAGGCTCCAGGCTTTTGCGCGAATCAATAGAAAGGGGACTGGACGACCCGCGCCAACTGCATGCGATATTGGGCTGCATCCATCTCGCAGTTCCCTGAAACAGATCTTGGCTACCCCAACACACATGATTGGTAACGATGTTGAGATTGGTCCCCGAACTTGAAGCGGAGCATTTGCTCCGGCTGGTATTGACCATGTGTCTGTTGAGAGCTTTCTTGGCATATTTCCCACCTGTCAAACTCTGCTTGGCTACGAACCGTCCAGCTGAAGTTGAAGTCGTCCGCATAGGTCGTGTTGCTGTCCTGGACATGTAGCAGGTGTCCTTGCTTCCCTTTCAACGTGAAGCCTGAGTATAGGGCCCGGAGCACGGGCGAGAGCCCCGCCGACCCTTGTAGAACTCCTCGCTCGGCGGAAATCTCCAAGCTATGTCCGCAGTGAGAAATTCGAAGTCTTGCTTGTGAGTGTGTAGCAAGATGCGGTTGCTCCAATCATGTCCGAGCCCACTTGGGCTTCTATCATGGCCTGCCAAAGATCTTCTCTTGGTAGACAGTCAAAGGCCTTCGAAATGTCAAGCGGCAATTGCACGCCGCCATATAAGCCCAATTGCGCGCGACCACTCCGCTTGTTATGTATGTTCATTGTCTGTCCCTGTACATATGGGTCTCAAATCCGGAGCAGCACGCATAGATTTACCAGGTTTGGGCAGAAGTACCAGCTCGCTAATATTCCATCTGGGAGGAAGTTGTATCTGACCAGCTTGCAGCACATGATGAAACTGTTGAAGCAGAATATGAGCCACTGGCTTGGAGATGTGCTTCCACAGAACTGTCGGAGCGCTGTCCGATGGCATAACCTTTGAGGGTGACATCTTGCTGATTGCCCTGAGAATCTCTGCCACGCAGAACGTGATCGGCCTATCGAAGGTCTGGATCTGCTCCAGCCGTCCATAGCACAGCTTCCGAAAGAATTCCAGAATCTGCAGGTGTTCTTGAGCATGCGCCTGTGTGCGCCCCTGTGAATCCCTAAGTTGAATTCTTCTTTTGGGGGTCTTGGGGGCTACGCATTTAGCGATCCTAAATAATATATCACCTGCTTCAAGAACTTGTTTGACTTTCTGAATCTTCCGTTCCCTGCCCGCCGCCCTGACCATTCTTGCAGTCGCTTGCAACAGGATGGCACGCTTCCATCCTGTGAAAAGCTGCCCCAACTGAAACTGCTTGTCTGCGGCAACGTTGATTGCAGGGGCGGCACGAAGGATTTGCCGTAGCTCCCACATACGATACACCTGCGACTTCTCAGTGTCTGCGAGATTCGGCTGCTCGGTGATTGTGTGGGCGGGTCTCCAAGGTAGCTGTGTGTTCCGCACGCAGTGTTGACAGACTTTGAGGAGCTCCCATCCAAGCTGTCGAGCGCAGGGCACATGCTATGAAACACCTTCTCAATGCGCAATTCAAAGGATTCTGCAAGAAGCTTGTTCTTCAAGTTGTTGCGAACTTCCTGTGGTTGCGTTCTCCCAGAGCTGCGCATCGTAGAGGGTCTGGATGGTCTCCGAATGTAGCATTCCAGCGGAAGGTGTCTGCAGCCCGCGCGTGGGGTAAATGGGGCCAGGAAAGGTTTGTCTTGGTTTGCTACCTCCCACGCCAGCTTGCCCCTTGAAAGAACAACGTCTATTTGGGCACCGTGATCCGAGCCTGATGGTCGCGCTGGAATGAATGTCCTCACTGTAGGTCCAGCCTTTGACCAAGCATTCAGCATACAGCAAGCATGTGTGCGCAGTAGCTGTTGCAGATGCCGAAGTCTGTCTGTACAATGTGAGCTCCTAGCTTTATAAGCTGGTCTGTCTTGCTGGCGCCTGTAATATCAGTAGGATCCGCTTGCTGGGGCCTCTTCTGCACATTCCACGCGCGCTGGTATACCCCAAGTTTCTCCAGAGGTGGGTCCAGCATGAGTCTGACATGGAGCAATCGCCATGGTTGTACCGTTGCAGAACGCACTTGCTCCGATTTAACCAAAGTAGAAAGCACGAATAACATAATGCCTCCCTCCGATGTTTCTGAGCCGCTACTCAGAGTGAGGGCAGAAGTGGTGTACTCCATGTCATGTTCCCAGGCTGTTTCCTGAAGACCAAAATGTGGACCGGCCTGCCCTGTGAATATTCATCGCAAAGCCCTTGTGCGATTTCCCTGTACTTGGTATCATGCAATCCACCGCACTTCCATGTAATTATGCGCAATCTGGGTGAAGCTGCGCATGTTTGAGGACTGCGGCTGGAGGATCTGCAGTTGTTGAGAAATGGCTCTGAAGCTCTCTTCCCCAATTGTCTACGTGTAAGAGATCTTCCTGTATACCATGTTACTTGTTGATCTGAATTGGTAGCCTTGTGGATAGCGCGCCTGAATGACCGCTTGCGAGCTGCATCCGCGCCTCTCATAGGAGATGGGTCAACCTTCATGCCAACTGTGCCAGGTGCGTTGCTGTAAGTGAAGATCATGAGAAAGGCAGTGTTGGAAACACGCATGCCATGAAAGCTCCTGACACAGTCCCCGGACTTAAGACCGGGCGAGTATTTGCGCGGCATCTTCTTCCGCAGGGCTGCTGGTGCAAGATGTCTGCAAGAATCGAAGAGGGATACCAGATTTGCGGTGGCTGAGGGCGACTGCGTCGTCTTCTTTGTGCCCTCATTTTTGCACCTTGCCTGATGCGCCATCGGCTCCATCTCTTCCGGAAAATCTCAGAGCTCTGTGCTTCCCGAGGATCGCGCTCTGTATTGGATTTTCCTTTCTGAGATCCATTCTTTGCGTCCTGTATTCGATCGGCAGAGTTCTAATGAGAAATTCCATGGAGGTCTGATACAGCGTGTGGCGGATCTCCTTGCTGATGACCTCGGCCCAGCTGTCGAACAAACTCCAGTTCTCTTAATTTCAAGGGGGAGGTTCGATCGCGATCTTTCCCACCGTGGCATATTCTGCCTCTCCAAGTTCATGTAGGAAACGGCCGCTTGATCCACAAACTGAACGCCTCGATCTTCCCTGCTGGAGACGATAGTCTCGGTAAAAACATATGGCAAGACGTCTCTTGGCATCAGCACACTGAACTGCAAAATCTTGCTCTCCATCTCCTGCTGTGCGCCCAAGGGCTTCAGATCTAGCACTGGATGCATCTTCCACGGAAGCTTCCGAATCAGTAAAATCATCCATATCAGTGTCAAACATACTGAAACCATGTGCAGCGAAAGGACTTGGAACGTTCGGGTCGGAGGTCTCAGAACCTTCTAGGCGGCCTTTACGGTTTTTTCCAGCAGCCTCACAGGTTGAAGGAACAAAGCTCAGAACACTCGTGGCGCTTGTTCACACAGGGCACGGGCGAACATCTATATGAGGCTTGACGATAGTGTGGGCATCAGCACCTAGGGGACCTACCACTTGACCTGTGGTTCGTTCGACCGGCCGAGCCTCGACTTGGGGCGACACGGCGGCGAAGTCCAGCCGGGGCCTCGCTGGCTCCAGCCTCCTGGCCAGCGAGCCAAGCGCCTGCAGTTAGGCGTTAGTGCAGTTAGGTGTCCAGGTTGGTCGCATGCGATCGCACGCAGTAAGCCATGCAAAAACGTCATGCAATGCGCTACAAGGCTCACGTCTCGCTGTGCGGCAGCATTGGGAGGACAACGCTTCAGCATACCACTTCTTATTTTGAGGAGACACACAAGAAGACGTAAGACTTCCCAATGTGAAATTCCGGAGACCCAGCCTGTGCAGACTCCTCCACAGGCAAAAGCACACACAGCATCTTGGAATTCAGACTCAATTGGAAGGATGAGGAGGGAGAGCTGGGCACATGCGAGCTGAATCCTGACGAAAGACCAACCCAGCGAGGACACGTGAGTCAGAATCAAAATGCTTTCACCACCGCGAAAGGACATGAAGCATTTCTGCATGTTAGCCAGCAGTACAGATTTCCACTGCACATGGACTCAACGCATTCCACATGAATGTCCTTCGCCAGGCGCGTCGACTTCTGCAGAGCCCATTCCATGGCTTCCTCAGAGCCATCAATGCGCACGTCTCAAACTCTTCAAACCAGAACACAACAAATCTCTCATAAACACCTTGACTCAGCCTACGCTTGTTAGCACCTCTGCGGATTCGAAGCGCTGCGCTGCTTCCTGGGCGATGTCCTTGCAGACAACAAGGATATAGAAGGATGAACGATGGAGGCAATGGTCAGTCGCCAGGCGATCTCGCCTGGCTGAAGCCCATCTCCCGAAGCTGCTGCAGCACCGGATCTTGGACCGGTCCTTGGTACTTCCGTCCTTCCGCCTCCTCCGCCTCCGCATCTCCATCGTTTAATGGGGGCGGAGGGGGCGGAGGAGGCGGCAGCGGGTCCTGGCAATTGCACATTTGACGGGCACACCCAGGGCTTGCCACGCCTCAACGTGTAGAGTTGGAGCCGGCTCCTGCCACTTCACACCACAGATTTGCCTAGATGCAGAGAACAACTTCTGCCGCACTTGTGCCGCATCCCTTTTCTCCGCCGACGCTTCCGGGCTGGCGACTTCACGGCCGAACCGTGCTGCCGACAGCTGCAAGTAGGCGAAATTGCTCAACCTCCACGTGCTCGTGCTCGAAGTTTGCAGACTACTGGCGATGGGGTGGCCAAGCCCAATGTGACTTCACCTGTGAGTTGGTAGCGTCACTCACTTCCGCCATGCTCTTCGGCGCAGTCAGGCAATGCCTACTTTGGTTCCACCTGACAAGGAAGCGGCAAAAGGAATGCACGCGAAAGGCCCAAGCAGCCACAGACTGCCTCTTCCTCGCGTGCCGCTTCCTTGCAACTACTTTGATTCTCTTGCTCTTGCAGGTTTGTGTGACATCAAGAGCCCGCCTGAGACTTCTGCTTCATGCGCTCGACATCAAATTTCACCCCCCTGTACATCCGCTCCTCTCATAGGCATGTGGGTCACCCTGATGGTACTGATGGCTGCAGTCGTCCTTGTCTATACTTCTGCTCATGATGGCATAGGTGGCTGTGCATACCGATGCAATGCACGCCAGGCCGAAAATGATCTTCGGTGCGTTTGGCATCTTTCGTGGGACCATGGCTGCCAGGCGGCTCGTGAGCCCCACTGCGCGCCCCAACTTGAGCCCAGCGAAGCTTGCGTCACTTGCTTGCATCAGGCTGACAACGTCCCAGACGGCAAAGATCCAAAGATCAAGTGACAGCACGTGACAGCTGCAAGTCCTTCGCCTCTTTGAAGATGGGCCCGGGGCTGACTGCTGTCGGCCTGGGGCTGAAACATACGCTCGCACCAAAAGTCGCATGCCCTTTTGGCACTCCGGCAAGGTTTCAACGAGTCTGGTGGCCAAGAAGTCCGCTGCCTGCACGGAACACCCAGCGGGGCGGGACGAGCCTCTGGGCTCTAGGCTCTGGGAGATAAAGACATTCTTTTGGCTGCAGCTGCCGTAGCCATTGGAAGATGCCACAAGTCTCAGCACCTGCTCCAGGTACCATCTTGGACCTGGGCAATGGCCGGTAGAAGGCTCCTCTCAGGGTGGAGTGTAACCGAGCTGCGGGATCCATTGTGGCCGCCCGTGAAGGTAACCAGCCTGTCAATGAGGGTCAAGCTCAAACGCACATTTGCTAGGCCTAAGCCCTGTTGTTGAGGTGAGCACTTTGCTTCAGCCCCCCAGACCCGATGCAGATCATGCGTGTGATGAGGCAGCACAAAGTCCTGGGCATTTGAAGAAAATGATTACGTCCATGCGTCAAGTGCCCTGAGCTGCGCACATCATCTTCTGCAACCTCAACAGTCAAGGAAGACAAAAACGAAGCGCACGCAACCAAAAACCAACAAGTGTAACGTCCACTCGAAATTGTTCTTAGCCCGGCAGCTGCGAAGAGTGCTGGCGACCTGCAGTGGCAACTTCTGGCTGCAAGTTAGCTGCAAGTTGGCTGGCCTCGCTTGAGGCGCGCTGCGTATGGGCTGCAACTCCTGAGCTCAGAAAATTCTTCCCGCAGATCTTCGCAGTATTCCTCGAACCAAGCAAGAACGCCTGAATGTCGAAGTAGGCCCGCTCCTCAGCTTGCGCTCACGAGAGCTGCAGAGCTGCAGAGCTGAATTCCGAAGGCCTGGATCGCAGTGCGCACATGGCTCAAGGCCATGCTCCTTAGCAGAGACGTGTAGAGACGTGTAGATGCAATCGGAACTTCAGACATCTTCAGGCTGAGGTGCTGGCACCAGGAAGTCAGGCAGCCCGATCTGGCCTATCGCTGAGCTGCAGCACATCTGCAAAGCCCAAACTTCAGGCTGAGGTGCTTTGTACCAGCTCCTGCGCAACTTGAGGAAGGTGGCCTGAGCTGGGGCTAAGAAATCATCGGCTCATTCACTTTGTCTCATTCTGTCTCAGCCGTGTGCTGAAGGGCGAGTCAAGGATGAGCGCACCGATCGATGGGTCCTCCGCTGCCCTCAGGATGGCCGTCACCGCACCCATGGACCTCAAAATGCACAAACTTTAGAACCCCATATATAGTACAGTATACTTAAACCCCTGCTTGAGGGGTTGAATCCAGGTGCCTTCCCCAGAGACCAAAAAGCCGCACGCCCGCATTGCGGAGGTGCTGAATGAGCACCTGTGTGGGGACGCTATGGTCCTTCGGTTGCACTTCCTGGTCGCAGGAACAGTGCCTGCAAGTCGAATTGTTCGAAGTGCCCAAGGGAGATGAATTCCCCTTCACTGTGGCCCGACCTTCCGACAAATCTCTTTGGAAGCAGGAATGGGCCGCATTTGCGCCAAGAAAGGGACCCGGAAAGGTCCAGGCAGCAAAGTCTCAAGTCCTTCGCCAGGACGGCCTGCTTCAGACCCCAAACTTCCAGACAACACCATGTCGCCATGTCAGCTTGGCTGCCAACGAAACAAAGCCATGTGAAGCTGGGCAGCGCCTGCAGCACATCAAGCGCCTCTGACCGTGAAGAGCAGTTTCCATGCAGGTAGATGACGCACCTCACAAATCTCACAATAACTTCTTACAAGCATGTGCGGAAAGTGCAGCACCATCGCCTCTTCTCAGCGAGCTTTCTGTGGAACTCAAGGCTGAGCGGCTATGTGTTCTTGTACAACAGGTAACAGTACGTATTACAATGCTGGACTTGGGAAAATGAAGTAAAGGTGGTGGTATTTCAGACGTCAGCCTCAAACTGCTTCACAATCGCAAAATCCTTTGACCCTAGGAAAGGTAAACCACAATCAATACCGCAATCTAGGCAGCGGATTTTGTGTCCCGTGCTGTTTCCCATTGCATAATGCTGTTGCTGGTCGGTGGGACCTGTAGATGACTGAGGCCCCGGGCGGCATCGCAGACATGGGCTTTTTGGGATAAGAGCCTCATTGTGCCAGCAAGCAGCAAGGCAAAGAGCCTGCGGAACTAAGCCATGGACCGAACATGCTGCAAGCCAGCCGCATGCCACGAGCATTCCTTGAATTGGACGACTCAGCGGATTCTTCAAGTTGCTCATGAGCTGAGGCCCAGCTTCAGATGGAAATCCTGCCAAGAAACTCAAAAGCAAGTCTGGTCTGTTGATGCTTCCACCCGCTTGTCTGTTGCGTAGCCTCGCGGCAGTAGATGCGAGAATGGATACGGAACTTGCTGGGCCCCAGGTCTGAGATGAGGTACTCTGACCTGAAGCACATACGACGTGTACGCAAGCTTGTGCGGGGACCGCAGCAGCGAGCCTCGGGGGCCGAATGAATAACTTCCAAAGGAGGTCATAGGATTCGGAAAGGAAGGCCGTCCAGGAGACCTGCCCATCCATTCCTTTCTCCGTGTGGCCTCTGGCATCTGGCAGCTCATGACAGGTCTGACCGCAAACAGATTTCAGCTTTCATGTAGGAAACAGACTCTCATGGTAAGTCACGAAGCTCCATGACTCACATGGCAAGGCGGCTCTGCTGTGGAATACACAGATCTTTCTTAGGGGCGCAGCCCTCCAAGCTGATTTGCATGATACACACACACATGTATATAATATACATTGGCTACACGGCATGTACAGCCATGCTCTTGCAGCAACGTACCGAGTACTTCGGTAGCAGAGCCCCTGTCGCGACAACGGCTCTGAAGCCATTTGAGTCAACAGTTACTTGCTGGCAGCTCATAGAATGAAGACCAGGCGCCATGTTCATTTCACGCGCAATACCTCGCTGAGTATCGGTATCACAAGCGATTGCTTCTGAGAAGCAAGGAGTGTAGTAAGGCAGGGGCAAGCTGTAAAGGATACTGCTCTCAACGAGCCTTGCAACATCCTTTCGCCTGTTGTTGTTCGGTGCCTATGCACTTCTCAAAGCATGTGTCTTGAAAGCGAACACATCTGAATTACCTAAGCTTGGCCCTCCTTACTTGCAAGATACAGTAATATGGTACGCGAGGTCCCATGCGGGAGAGCGGCATACTGAAAACTTTGCGGACGAATTCCGCTGTGAGTATTCAAACGAGAAAGGGATAATTGGGTGCTTGCATCTCTCACTTGCTCAGGAACTGC